TTGGAAGGGCCGGTGGGTCTCAGGCTAGCCAGGGAAGCCAAGTCTTCAAGGCAGACGGCATCTTGATGGGGAGGGGCTCCCAACCAGCATGGAAGTGCCATACCTCATTGAGTCTAGGACAAACATCATCACTCGTAAGACACATCCTAATCTCAGCGATGGTAAAATAAGGAAAAAGCAAACTGTGCCTCTGAGGTGCTGTTTTCACAGTTTAACACGCAAACAGTCCTAACGGTGCTAGGAAAGCCAGCTCTTCAAAGCCTCCTTGAGCAATGACAGCTCTACTTGCCCATTCTAAATGTCCCTTAGTGCCTGGCCAGGACATATGCCAGAACTAACTATCGTATCTCCAGTGTGCTGTGAGGCTGACAGAGAGCTACAAGACAGATGGGGGACTTAGGGACTCGTGGTTCCATTTTATCAGATAGGTGGCATTCCCCTGGACTGGGGCAGGGAAGCTCCACAGAAAGACAGAAGTCTGCACAGGCACAATCTGTGTGTGTAGCACAACATCTGAGCACAGGCAGGGAGCACAGGCCGCCTGTCACATGCATGGATCTGATCATTATAAGATGGCAAAGCCTTCTGCCCCTCTACTTCATGCGCCAGGCCCCTGTCGTTCGCCTTTGGGTTCTCCCAATGTTTTCCTGTGCTGTTAGCATATGATTTCTGGATGGAAACGAGCTTGCTAATGTGACAGATTTCATTCTGTGCCTTTCCTTCTCTGTCTGACTTAGATTATTGCCTCTGGGGCAAATACTGTATCTCTTTTGCCTTACACAGTCCCAAGAACACCATTGATGCTGAACAAATAAATAACCAGAGATGTGAGATGGAGTCTAAAATGTACAGAACGGGCTCATCTATCAAAATTTGGACACGGAGCGCAGAGTCAATTATCGTGTATTAACTTGCTCTTGTTCGCATTTTAATGCATTTAGAAAGACTCACTTCCTCTCCACACGCACCCTGCCAGCCTGGAACGCCAGCAACGCTGAGAGCGCTTTAGGTAATGCTCAGCTTCCCCTCCGTCTTTGAACACTGCCGGACACTCCGAAACTCCTAAAAGGTGATGACACTTAGGAATGTGTGCCTGGCACAAATCTTGGCAAAACCATAACATCCTTCATGGAATCTTCCACTTGGAGAAGCACTTTCTTGTCTACGTGAGACACAGATTGCCGTGCAGCAGTTTCACAAGACTAACAAGCAGCAGGCTGGGTGCTGTTTCCATTTGAAAGGTGGGTAAACTGATCAGCAGAAGTGTCAGGTGACTTTTTATCAATCCAGAGAAAGGCAGGAAGGAAGTTCAAAAGGAAGGAAGGAGGAAGAGGAAGAAGGTAGAAAGGAAGTAAGGAAAAGGAAAGTATAAAAACAATTTTCTAGCAGTTAATTACTTCCTCAGTTCACTTGTAACAGCAACAGGGACAGAGATGGATAGTTTTAATAGACTAGTATTAATGATGGTAACAGGCTGGGCCGCAGTGTCTCACAACTGTAGTCCCAGCTTCTCAAGAGGCAAAGACCAGGAGGACTGCAGTTCAAAGCTAGCCTGGGCAAAACATTAGCAAGACCCCATTTCAACAAATAAGCCAGGCATGGTGACACAAGCCTGTCATTCCAGCTGTGCTTGGAGGCATAAATAGGAGAACTGAAGTCCAGGTCAGCCCAGCAAAAACAGTGAGCCCCTACCTGAAAAATAAGCCAAAAGGGCTGGGGCCACGGCTCAAGTGGAAGAAGGACTGGCTACCAGGTGCCAGGCCCTGAGTTCAAACCTTAGTATCACAAAATAAAAATAAATAATGGTGGTCACAGGAGTGTCAGCAGCAAAGGAATAGAGACAGTGGCAACAGTAGTAGCATTGCCACCTCATCTTTATGTCCCAAAGACTTCCCAGGGCACTTCTGGACACAGCATCTTCAAAACCAGTTTCCAGGACAGTGACTCTGGGTCCCACTCTGATGAGACTCAGCAGGACCCCCTTTCTTCACCTCGCATAGCATCTGGGGGCCACCTCTGGCTTGATATAGCTTGGCCTATCCTGGTGCCCTTGCCAGCCTGTTGTCACTTTGCCTCCCTGTGGACCAGGGAAACTGAGGCCCCTGCTGCCTTGGGGAGGAAATGTGGAGAGGGGACCTCGGGCTACTGGCACAGGAGAGATGAGCTCATGGAAAAGGAGCCCTCCGCAGAGGGCAGGGCTGTCCAATGGTGGCCTGCTGGGCTGGCTCCCAAGAAGGGCTCAGGCTGAAGACATGAAAGGTGCAGGCTCTGTCCCCTTGTCCCTTTGGCTGACGGTATCTCTCTGGCTACATTGAATCTCCATGCACCCACAGAAAGAAGTCTTCCTTGTGGGCTGAGGAAAACAGTTTTGATTTTTTTCTCCAGAGTCTACCTAGAGTTAGATCTCCTGACCCTGGAAGCGCCACCTGGGGCTTCCATGTGGGTAGAGCCCAGTGTCTGCACGCAACTCTGCAATGCTGACTTTGGAAAACGCGGTCCACCATGATGGGTGCGCAGCTTCTCAGCCCTGTCTACCAGTGGGCACTGGCTTTCTGATGGCAGGCTGTGAAATGATAAGGGCAGTGGGCACCATGCCTAACTCATGAATTCAGAAAGAAAGGAAGAACATAGGTTTCAAAGAACCCAGTAATCCCCATCACTTCTGCCATTAGTGCATGTTACTTGAGTGATAGTCAAAGGAGAAACATAGCCAGAGAGACCTTCTAGAAATATGGAAGCAGTATCCAAACGGCACGGTAGTACCTGTGCACACATGGGATCCACAGCTGAAACCCTGCACTCTGGAGGTGTCCAAATCGCAATCCAAAGAGCATCCAAACAACACAGCCTGGCTGCTGTAGGCTCCCAGCCTTCCTGGGCAAGTGATGGGATAGCAGCTAGGACCAGCCTCTGCGCTAATCTTTCTTTTAGAAATATCAAGGAAGAAAGGGTGGTGAGGTTGGGGGGGAAGGAGAAAGAAAAGTGGAGCTGTCAGTGTGCTTGATGTTAAATAAAACCTACCAAGATTTAGCCGAGAATTTTAGCAGAATCCAAATGTGCTAGGAAAAAAAAAAAGCATGGCTCCCATCTCTAAGGTTCACAGCTAAGCTGGCTTAGAATCACACATGCCAAGGTTAAAAATAAAAAGCAGCCATCCCTGAATGACACAGGCTCCAGGAAGGAAGCCTGAGGTATGCTGTTTGATGGTGGAGGGAGGAGAGAGGAAGGAGACACTGGGTTCAGAGCGAGGTGTTTGTCACTGGAGAGCACATTACCTAAAAGGCAGTTGTTTGGAATTCTGCTGTTTTGCACTTCCCACTGGCGAAAGGGCTCCTAATAATCCTCAGATTTTCCATCGAGGAAACTGGCAGGCACTCGAGTGTGGCCGTGGCTGACGCACTCAGGCAGGGCACTGTTGATGCACCTGCCTCCCTGGACCTGGGCTCAACCTCAGACAGTGTCCTCATCCACGGAGATGTGACGCCTGTGGGTCACAGCTCAGAGAGCACAATGGGACATCAGCATTGGCATGGAGCCACACCTGTCACCATTTGCCACCCTATCCACTAACCAGATACTAATAGTGTGGGAGCCACCCACAGGCCAGCGAGGCACTGCTTGGCTCTGCTGCAGACAGACTGTGTGTCCACCTCTTAGGGACGGTGTATGCTCCATACCTACAGTCACAGCCACTGCAGGCCACGGCTAGCTGGCAAAGATGACAGGCAGGTCGGCCCTGTGGTCTCCACTTCTTGCACATCCACGGCTCCCTATTACGAGTCCAGTGGGGGGCTCTTTCTAATGAAATTGTCCTTTGTTCAATGTGCCCATGACCTCCACTGCCCAAAAGAGTTTACTTTTAGAAAAAAAGAGTTGGCCTCAGCCACTCTAGAGCTCCTGGAGCACCCCTCCACAGTTCCATTACTATGCAGATTTTTCTAGAATGTCTTCAAGGGGTCAGGTGAGAATTCTATCACCTGTTTGTCATGGAGAGTCCATACATTGTACCAGCCCTGACTCAGCCCCTAGTGAGCACATAAGCAAGGGAGGACCGCACTTCAGCACCACACAGGACATGAGAGAGTGGAGGCTATCACCTTGCAGAAGGTTGTCTGTGTCCCCCTAACTTCTGTTCCTCGAGGTGCCAGGGAAGAGTGGACAGTCTTGTATGTCTAGCTATCCCTGGAACTCTGGCTACTCTTCACCTGAGGTGCCAAAGTCCACATCTTGACTACTGGTATAGAGCACCTGTTCTAAGTGTCTTTTTCTACACCTTCAAAGCACTTTAGCAAAGCCTTGGGAGGCAGACCAGGCATGGACTGTTTTTCTGCCCATCCTGACAGATGAGAGCAGAGAGGATGGGAGAGCTGGAAGCACTTGTTCAAGCTAATGCACAGAACCAAGATTTGAATCCAGGGTTCTTTCCATCACTCCAAGACCTCTGACTCCAAGACATCCCCCAGTGTTGGGGGAGGAGAAGGCAGCCCCTGTACAGCACCAAATGCTGGTGGCTGGGAATGGGACTCCCTGGAGGGTCTTTCTCATTCTTTCTCCATCTGCCTACCTACAAGGACCTCTCCCAGGGGATCCGTGTCCTGATTTCCCCTTCTCAGCCCTACCTAGGGCAGGATAGTGTTGTGGTTAGCAGCACCCGTAGCCTGGCTTGCCCCTTGCTTGGGCACCCTGCTCCATCCACCTTAAAGGCTGGAGGCACAGGCAGCTCTCCAGCCCGCAAAAGGATGTGACTGGAAATCTCCCTTCCCTTGCAGGGACTCCGGGGACAGGAGGAGACGCCCTGAGCAGTTCAAGAAACCGCGTGCCCATCTCGATAACCACAGGGAAGTTCTGGGGAGAGCCTTCTGCTAGAGACTTCTGCTCCCCACGTGTCAGCCTAAACCCACATACCTAGCTGGGTGAAGGCGAAGAGAAAACGCAAGCCATGACTCCAAGGATGGAACCGATCAGAGTGGTGGCGCACGGAGTGGGACCCGCGTCCTTACCTGTACCAGTCCAGCCCGCGGCCGTAGTTCCTGTCGAAGAAGTGGGGCTCGGTGCCCAAGGCCCGCACGTCCGGGTGCACGCGGATAAACTCCAGCACCGCGCGGGTGCCCCCCTTCTTCACGCCCACAATGAGGGCTTGGGGAAGCCGCTTGGTGCCCAGCTTCGGTGTGCCCGAGTGGTTGGAGCCGGGGAGGCGCGGAGCGGGAGCGGCGGCGGCCGCGGGCGCGCTGGGCGGTGGCCCGGGGGGACCGCAGGGGCGGGACTTGGGGAGAAGTTTCTGGCTGCTCGCACCGGGGCCGCGGAGGCAGCGAGGCGCGCCCAAGAGGCGGCTGCGGCCGAGGTCGTCGCAGCAGCACAGGAAGCTGTAACACAGGTAAGTGCAGGACAGCGACAGCGTGAACGCGAAGAGCAGCCTGCGTGCCCTCCGCGGCTGAGGTGGCCCCGCGCGGCCCAGGACCCTATAGGCCATGGCTCCATGGGCCCGCTCCGGGGTACATGGTTTCCGAGAGGGCACCTGCGGCAGAGCGGTTGTGGCGCTGCGGTCGCCTAGAGGGTTCTCGTGGCGCTGCCCCGGGGGCGCGGGTCAGTTGTAGGGGGCGCCTTCTTCTCGGGGCGCGCACCATGCCCGGGAATCCCGGGCGCGGCGGCTCCTCGGGGAACAGGCGACAGCATTCCCAGCATCTCCGGGTCCTCGGCGATGGGGCTCCGGGCAGTGGGGCGGCTCCGGCGCGGCTTGGCTCCTACATGCGCCGGGTTCGGAGCGCGCCCAGCGCCCGAAGCCCCATTCCGGAGGCTCGCAGCGCCGCGCAGGGAGCGCTCGGTGGCCGCGCGGCTGTGCCCGCTGGCGGGCGGACCGGACGGTGGCGCTGGCGCGGGCCGCACTCTGGTTCCTCGGGAAATGCCGAGCGGAGCGCGCTGCCGGCTCTATTTAAGGAGTCGCCTGACGTCAGCCGCGCGGGTCCCCCGAGCCCGCGCCGCGCCCGGGGACCTTGGCCCGCCCCCTGCGCCCCCACTCTCTTTCTCCTCTCAGGGACACGCTGTCCCAGGTCCTCGGCACGCAGGCCTCTCCCTAAGGAGCTCTGATCAGCTTGGGGCGGTGAGAAGAAGGTGCCAGGCACATCAGGTACTCCTGGAGGAGGCTGGACATCCCCAGTACACTGGCCTGTCGACACCCAGGGCTAGGAGCCCAAGTCGAGATTGCGCCAACCCCAGGCCAGACGCGGGCACTGGCGCAGACACGAGCACCCTGCCCTGGTGCGCGGTCCCACTCCACTGACCCACGCGCGCACGCACATGCCCAGCAGCCCGCGCGCCCTAACCCAGACACACACCCCTCGCACCCCACGAGGGGTGGGGAGGAGGAACCCCCTCACGCCGTGAAAACACCGACAGAGACACACCCCTCCCCCGCCCCGCTGCCAAACAGCCCGACAGCGGGGAATCGGACCTGGTGCGATGTGCGCACATGCCCGGGGATGGGGCGCCCGCTGGAAAAGGGCCGGGCGGAGGGACGGAGCGAGAGGGAGATTCCGTGTCTACTCATCCAGCTCCCCGGTCCCCCGCGGCTGACTCACGCCCAGCGCCTCGCTCTGTCTCGCACCCATGCAGCGCGCGCCTCCACCCCACTCCCACTGCACCTCTCCCCCCGGAACCGCGGACTCCGCGCCAGCCGGTTCCTCTCCCTGCGGTCGCCCCCTAGCGGTAGACAGCTCCCCGGGGATCTGTCCAAGGTACCATGGGGTCTCTCAAGGGAGGGTCAGGGTGCAGCGAGCTTCTTCACAGTGGTATTAAGAGGAGGAAACAAAGGACAGGGAGGACTTATCCAGGAGCTGTTCCACTGCGAATGAGTCCTACGTGACCACCCACCGAACAGTTCTCGGTGCCCATCCCAAGAACAGGTGTGAGTGGTGGATCCCAGGACGGCCCTGAGGGCCCTGAAGGATCAGAACAGGCCTGAATGGTCACGGCCAAGAGCACTGCCAAGTTGTCCTTCAAAAATGCCAAATCACCATACCCAGATGGTCCCAAAGTGAGACCCCCCAGTAAGATGGTCAGAGGACCTCCACCACCCCCAGCACTCACTCAGGCTCATTCTGGGCATAACCAGAACACAGGCTCTGTGGATCTTAGTTCAAACCAGGAAATATTTTGCCCCCCAACCAAGCCACCCCTAAAAACCTTTCACCAGTCCCTCTACTGTGGGCATAGTAGCTCTTGAGGGTGTGCCAAGTTCCTGGCACCTTAACTCATTTAATACTTACTACAACCTACCAGAGTGGCTCCCTTATCCGCTTCTTAATTCTAACAGTAGCTAACATTTACCAAGTGCTTGTTTCCTGCCAATGGCACAGTATGCCTCACCTCATTTATCTTTGGAGGTAGGTGTATTATAGGTATTATAATAATTCCAAATTTACAGACAGTGAGAGAGGCTTAAATGAATGCATACCCAGTAATTGGCAGAGCTAAGATTAAACCTAGGCAGCCTGACTCCAAGATTCCAGTTCTTAATTACAGTGCTTTGACATTGCCTAACTTCTTTGAGCATTATTCGCAGAACTTCCTCCCAGGCTCTGCTCCTGGATGTGAACTCATTTGTCTAAGTGTCTACTAGAAGGTGGTGGTTGAAAAGTTCAACAGGACCTCCCCTTCCTTCTGCAAGCTGTGTCTTGTAATGCCACCTAAGACCCCATTATCTTTTTCCCTGAGCTATATCACACTGCTGGCATCTCCAGCTGGAAGGTGCAAAGCAACTTTCTAAGTATTTCTTGCGAGCACTGCTGATAGAGGCACGTCTGTCCCACAGTTTCTGTACAGTGGATTTTTTTTGGACCCAACTTGTAGGTCCTTAGACATTTGACCTGATTAGATTTCATCTCCCCTCATCAATTCACTCCTCCAGTTTTTTTAAACGTCTATTTGAATCTCAAAGTTGTGATGTAGACTTCCTGTATTTGAAAAAAAGTAAGAAGATTGCATTCCAGCTTTGATCATGATTTCTAGCTGTATTGGGGCAATTGGGTTTCCCTCCTGAGTGTCAGTTTCTTTAGCTATATAATGGGGCATTATGGTTAACTTCAAAGACAACATTCTGTCTCGTAAGTCTATGATTACACGGTTCCATTATCCACGCATAAACCAGCGTCTTGGCATCATGTCGTCTCCACATTTGATTACAACTTAATTAATTCTTCACTCAAATTATTAATAAAAATGTCAAAACAAATATGCTGAAAGGAGTTCTCATGCATACTTGCAGCAGTTTCCCCATTGTGAACATGCCATTTCTGCGCTCTGTTGTTAAAATTATAAGGTTAGAGGTAGTGTGACACACTCTGACGGTGCTTTTTCTTAGCAAAAGAAACATGGATACAATTATTTCTCATAATTTTGAGCATGGTTCAGTTTTTTTAATTTATTTTTTAATCTTTAATTCATAAACTCTGAAATTCCAGATGCATTCGAGCTAGGCAGATTGTCTCCTTCAAATTTTCAACCAGGGTAACGACCATGACATGGACAGAACCCCTTAGGGAGTGTGACCACGGCCATGCCAGCTTGTCAGCCACCCCCTGTCATTTTACAGTAGGATTCTGGCTCTCCTTTGGGAATGTCAGCTAGAATTATGCTGGGTTAAGTGGTTTGTCATTTAAAGAAGAGATATAGCTATTTTTCTGTCACATGGAAGGTGACTTGGGGCTGTACGGGAGTCCCACATGTGAGGGATCCAGGTCCCTTCTATCTTGTGACTCTGCTGTGTTTCCTTCACCAAAGTTACCTGTATTCTGAGATGACTCATTCATCTTCTGTCATCATGTTCACATTCTGGTCACTGGAAAGGAAAAAAATGTCAGAGAAGCATGCTCCCTTCCTCTAAGGACCTTTCTTGGAAGTTGTCTGCATTATTTCTACCCACATTCAATTGATCAAAATGGTTGTCACATACCTGGACGCTCCAAGAGATTCTACCAAACACACCAGGCACTGTGGCTCACGCCTATAATCCAAGCTACTTGGGAAGCTGAGATCAGGAATATCACAGTTCCAAGCCAGCATAGGCAAAAAGTTCATGAGACGTTTTCTCAATCAGTAACTGCATGCAGTGGTTCAGGCCTACCACCCCAGCTATATGGGGGGGTGGTGGCTGAGATTGGGAGGATTGTGACTCCAGCCAGCCCTGGCAAAAAAAGATCATGAGACCCCATTTCAAAGGCAAAATGCTGAGAGTGGTAACGTGCACCTGTCATCCCAGCTAGGGTGGATCGTGATCCAGGCCAGCTTGGGCAAAAGTGGGACCATATCTCCAAAATAACCAGAGCCTAAAGGACTGGCAGAGTGGTTCAAACAGTAGAACACCTGCCTAGCAAGTGCGAAGCTCTGAGTTCAAACCCTAGTACTGCCAAAAAAAAGTCCTACTAAACGGTCCTTATTTTGGGTGTTTCTGTGCCTGGCTACAATTAAGGAGAAACCAATGAACAATTACGGAAAGCAGCTAGTCATCCCTACCATGATTAGAGAGACATGATTTTCCCTCATTCTTTGCCCAGGTGTCTTGAGGGCTGAGCCTAGTTCAAAGACAGGCATGTGACCAAGCCATACACTGTCATTTTTGAGTCATATTTCAATGAAAGAACTCCAATCTTTCCAGAGAGAATCAATCAATCACATAGCTTTTACTAAAAGATGATGAACTAGACTCAATAACCCTGACACTTCCCGTGGTCATCTCTGTCACCAGGAGGGAGGACCCTGAGAACAAAGCCAACAAGGAAGAGAAGCAAGCAGGGACTGGACTAGGGAGAGCCTCAGATGTCACCATGTCCCCAGACGTCTTTGCGCTAGTTAATTAGATAACTTTCTCTAATTACTAGTAATTCAAAGAGTCCTGACTCATTAAAGACACAAACAGTTACCATTTCAGTTGCACCATTTTAATCAAAAGTGGTGTAGAGGAAATGGGGGCTTATTTTTAAAGAAATGCTGGGAGGTAGAGATAGGGAAGATTGTAGTTCAAAGCCAGCCTAGGCAAAAAGTTAGCAACACCCCGATCTCTACAAACAAGCCAGGTTTGGTAGCACATGTCTGTAAGCCCAGCTATATGGGAGGTGTAGGTAGCAGTATTGTGATATGGGACAGCCTAGGCAAAAAGTTCAAGACCCTGTCTGAAAAATAACTAAAGCAGAAAGGGCTGTGGTTGTGGCAGGTAGAGCACCTGCCTAGCAAGTGCAAGACCCTTAGTTCAAACTCCATGACCACCAAAAAAAAGGCACAGGCCAGGGCTGGCACCATTCTGAATTTGCAAAAGGGCACCCAGCTACTTTTTCATCATCTCTGTTTTTGCTCTACGCTCCTTGTTTATGAATCAGTAAGGGTTGTTGACTTGTACTGTGATATGCAGAGGAGTTGGGGGGTTCACACCGTAGGAGGAAGAAGGCTGGGGCGCACAGCTGGCCTCCCCTCTGCTCCCCACTCCCCGTGCCTCTCCAGTCACCTCGCACCAGGCTTGTCTTGAGCCTTCCCACTCTGACATCTTGCACCAAAGACCTTGAATTTTAAATTATAAGTTTTCTTTCCCTTGCGTCTTCAGGCCTAATCAAGCCTTATTATTCAGGTTTTTCTTTTTCAGAGTTAAATTTCAGATCTTTTCCCAAGAGCAGAGTTTGGTAAAATGTGAGAAAATGTCCCTCTGAGGGCAGAGGGCAGTGACAGAGTCCTGTGGTCCGTGGGTTCTGTGAGGGGCGAAGTCCTCAGTGAGCCCAGAGGATGTGCGTGGACGTTGAGAGTTAGGGTGAGAGAAAGTTTTGGTTACTCTGGTCTCTGGATGAAATCAGATGGCAAAAGCTCAAGGGCTTCCAGATACTGCCCAGTGCAGGGAGGCGAATCTAGA